GGAGACCCATATGGAACATTTGGCCGAGGTCTTCAGACGGTTGAGACAAGCGCGCCTCCGCCTTAACCCACAGAAGTGCCACTTCTGTTGCAGCCGTCTCAAATATTTGGGGCATATAGTGGACAAAGACGGCATTCGAACTGACCCAGACAAGGTCAGCGCGGTAGCCGCGTGGACGACCCCGACAACCGTACGTCAAGTGCGCCAATTCCTCGGCGTCGCCTCCTGGTACCGCCGTTTTGTACCAGACTTCTCCACCACCGCCGCACCGTTGACACGCTTGACCCAAAAAAGAGCACGTTTTGCGTGGGGACCAGAAGAAGAAAAGGCTTTCGACGAGCTGAAGCGGGCGCTCACCACCGCACCAGTTCTTGCTTGTCCCGATTTCAGCCGACCATTCACCCTCCAGACCGACGCCAGCACGTGTGGGCTAGGTGCCGTGCTCACCCAAGAACTATCCGAAGGCGAACGCGTCATTGCCTACGCCAGCCGTACACTAAATAGCGCAGAAAGGAACTACAGCGCTACAGAGCTAGAATGTCTGGCGGTAGTGTGGGGAATCCGTCGAATGCGCGACTATCTGGAGGGTTATCACTTCACGGTTGTCACCGATCACCAGTCGCTTCGATGGCTGCAGAGACTGGAAGCTCCCACCGGTCGCCTAGGGAGATGGGTATTCGAGCTTCAGCAGTACGACTATGACATCCGGTATCGTAAAGGAAAACTGAACATCGTGGCCGACGCTCTCTCTCGTCAACCCGAGGCCTGTGTCATACAAGCCGCTCCAGACTGTCAATGGTACCGCCGCCTTTATCACCAGGTACAACAACACCCGGCCGAACATGCGGACTACCGCATCCAGAACCGACAGTTGCATCGACACATCCTGCATGATCTCAACTTCCACGACTCGCCAAGCGAGGAGCAATGGAAACAGTGCGTCCCGAAACCCCAGCGCGCGGAAATACTGCACCGACTGCATGACGACCCGACCGCCGGACACTTTGGCATTGCGAAGACCATCGCACGAGTAGCGCGCTTATATTATTGGCCAGGAATGTTCCGCGACGTCACTCGATACGTCCGTGACTGCCGAAACTGCGCCACCCACAAGGCCGCACAAACCTTGCCGGCCGGGAAACTTCGAGCCACCAACGTCACGCACCCGTGGCAACAGGTCTCCATTGATCTGGTCGGACCATTGCCACGATCGACCAGTGGCCATACCTGGCTGCTGACCATGCAGGATCGATTCTCCAAATGGATAGAGATGACGCCGCTCCGCCAAGCCACCGCCGCCAACGTCACACGAGAAGTAGCTGGACGTATTATATATCGTCACGGCTGCCCGGACACCATCGTCTCTGATAACGGGACTCAGTTGAGATCGCACCAGCTCGAGGGATTACTACGATCCTTCGGGATCAAGCATAGAACCGCCCCCGCCTACGCACCGCAGTGCAACCCGGTCGAGCGAGCCAACCGCACCATAAAGACCATGGTGGCGCAATATGTGGAAGGCCGACATCGCCGTTGGGATGAACACATTCCCCAGCTCCAGTTCGCTTTCAATACCGCACGACAAGAATCCACGGGATACACCCCGGCCTTTCTGATGTACGGCCGGGAGTTACAATCACCGCATCCCGACGACCGCCGCCCGGCAACGACCAGCAACGCTCCTGAAACAGTTCGACGTCGACTCGAAGACGCCTACGAAATTGTCAGAATCAACCTGGCCCGCGCCTTCCAACATCAACAGCGAAACTACGATTTACGTCGACGCGACTGGCGTCCACAAGTTGGAGACCGAGTATGGAAAAAGGAGCACCCGTTATCGAACAAAGAGCGCGGCTTTAATGCCAAACTAGCACCAAGATTTGGTGGCCCGTTGACGATCAGACGCATCATCTCCCCCGTCATCGTGGACCTGAAGGACGACCGAGGTCGATGGCATCGGCACGTCCACGTGAGGGACTTGAAATCCGCCTCCGAACCGCGTCCTGCGACCGAACCCTAGTCCGATACCCGAGCAACGCGCGCCGATTAACGCCGCCGGTCAACCGTTAGGCATGTTCGCGGTTTCGAATCAAAATACGTGGAGCGGCACTCTTCATGGTCCGCGTCTTGTCGAAAATCTTTGGCCGAATACCGGGAACGACATTCTTCATGGTCCGCGCTTTGCCACCCGGTCCCGAACCGAGAGCGGCACTCTTCATGGTCCGCGCTTTGCCACCCGGTCCCGCACCGGGAGCGGCACTCTTCATGGTCCGCGTCCAGATCACCGAGGGGTATAAAGAACGGGCACCCTTGGGTCGGAACTCATCCCGTCACGATGGAAACACCAAACGAAGAAGCAAACCAGCGCTCAAAAGAAAATCCGTCCGTTTCCGGACGAAATCTGCCCGTTTCCGGGCGAACCACCCGGCCAGTACCGGGAATAGGGACCCGCATCCAGCGGTCCGACGCCGAGCAGCGACGTCGGAACTTGGTGCTCTTGGAGGCACCTCCGCCTCCCCCGGGCAGACGCCGACCTATCCCGGTGAACACCCGGCATCGACGACCACCGGTCCTCTCCGACTCCCCGGCCTCCACCGTCGCCGGCGTCACCAGGCCCACGACGACACCGGCCAGCGCACGCCAGCCCGCTCGACCATCCGCGAACCGATCGGTTCCCTCAACCGGCACCCGCCGACACACGCCATCCGCTGTCGCACCGCCAGCCACCACGCGCCAGTCAGCGACGCCTGACGAAGCGGACCAGCCAGCGCATCGCGCCAACACAGGCCAACAGGTGCGATCCCTTGTCGCGCCACCAGCCAGGGAGCCACCCCAACCGGCACCACGCCGACCTCCAACCGGCCAGGCCCCACCAGTGCCAGCACCACGCCCGGGACCGCCACGACCCATCCAGGTCACTCTGGGGGATGGCCAAACCGTCGACATACCGTACCACGCCGCCACCATCTCACGGCGGTATAAGGTACGCACCCCGACGGGCCGGTGGATCATCAGATTCGACCGACGAGGAAGACCGCGAACGATCCGTCGAATAGCCACCCCCCCCTAGAAAAGGAGGGTGATGTGACGACCCGATTAGCCGTCACTAGTCGCCCGCGCTCGTGTAAACGGCCCCTTTCGGGGCCACCACACGAATACGTTGGGAATCCGCCTTTTCGCCCCCACCCGTCACTCGACCCCCTCCAAGCTAGTCTTAGAGTGGGGTGGCCGACGGGTATAAAGAGCGGCGCAGCCGAGACTTCGACACCAGTCCCGTCCTGGTCCCTCGAGCGTACTCAGGGATCACTCCTCAACTCCCACACTCCAAATCACCCCGGCCGACGAGCGTTCTCGTCGTGCAGGCCGAGCGTTCTCGGTCACCGGGTCCTGTCCGTAACTCACCCCGGCCGACGAGCGTTCTCGTCGTGCAGGCCGAGCGTCCTCGGTCACCGGGTCCTGTCCGTAAATCACCCCGGCCGACGAGCGTTCTCGTTGTGCAGGCCGAGCGTTCTCGGTCACCGGGTCCTGTCCGTAACTCACCCCGGCCGACGAGCGTTCTCGTCGTGCAGGCCGAGCGTCCTCGGTCACCGGGTCCTGTCCGTAAATCACCCCGGCCGACGAGCGTTCTCGTTGTGCAGGCCGAGCGTTCTCGGTCACCGGGTCCTGTCCGTAACTCACCCCGGCCGACGAGCGTTCTCGTTGTGCAGGCCGAGCGTTCTCGGTCACCGGGTCCTGTCCGTAACTCACCCCGGCCGACGAGCGTTCTCGTCGTGCAGGCCGAGCGTTCTCGGTCACCGGGTCCTGTCCGTAACTCACCCCGGCCGACGAGCGTTCTCGTCGTGCAGGCCGAGCGTCCTCGGTCACCGGGTCCTGTCCGTAAGTCACCCCGGCCGACGAGCGTTCTCGTCGTGCAGGCCGAGCGTTCTCGGTCACCGGGTCCTGTCCGTAAATCACCCCGGCCGACGAGCGTTCTCGTCGTGCAGGCCGAGCGTCCTCGGTCCCCGGGTCCTGTCCGTAAATCACCCCGGCCGACGAGCGTTCTCGTCGTGCAGGCCGAGCGTCCTCGGTCACCGGGTCCTGTCCGTAAATCACCCCGGCCGACGAGCGTTCTCGTCGTGCAGGCCGAGCGTCCTCGGTCACCGGGTCCTACCTGAAAGTCACCGGCGCCCGACGGAGCTCGCCCTTCTCAGGGCGCCCGTACGCGTGTCCGCGTTGGAAACTCTAGCAATAAGTCGTGTCCGCGTCCGTATAATCTGGTCGCGTCTCGTCCGTAATATTTCTATCCGTCAATCCTAGCAATAAGTCGTGTCCGCGTCCGTATAATCTGGTCGCGTCTCGTCCGTAATATTTCTATCTGTCAATCCTAGCAATAAGTCGTGTACGCGTCTGTATCATCTGGTCGCGTTTTGTCCGATTATACTGTGCTGTGTATAATGGTTTGAATCACGGGAGAACCACAGGAAGGTGGCCCCGAATAAACTCTACTTTTACCAGAGCAACCGTGTGTCATTGTAAATCTGAGTCTCCCCTCTTCCCGAATCCTGGCACCGACGAGCCGATCCGTGGCGTCGGGAAAGGTGCTTCGTTACAAAACGAACTTTGTGTGTTCATAATTGGAGGCGTCCGTAATTTAGTGCACTCTTCGGTAGATTCATCTGATGACAAAAAGAATTTCTTTGGGATAATTTTTCTTTTCGAAATGTTATCATTATCAGTCTCGGAGTTTAATTCAGATGTTAATTCAGCCTTTTTGGCTTTTTCCCTGGCTGTTTTATAGTTATCTGAAAATACAAGTAAATATATTTATATTATTATAACAAAAATAACGATTATGTACATATATTATTGATCACAAAAGTATATGTGGAATGTATAATATTTAAATATTTTATATTAACCATAACTGCTGTTTCTGAAAGTCATAACATTATATGAAGGCCAACATGTATTTGGTTTGGCATGTTTTTTGATAGCCGCTACAATTTTTTCCATATGAAACGGTGGCCAATAACATTTTTTATTGATAATCCAGGTAGATGGGACAGCTTCAACTGTATCTTCATCTATAAACCTTACTATAGTCCATGATCTCTCCATTTCTTCAAACATTTCAACAAAAATTTAAGGAGCATTTTATTCCAACAAAAAATTCTATTTACAATTTATATATGAAAAGGCGCAAACACTCAATAACTTATCACAAAAATTGCAAACCTATTTCCTCTATATATTATATTGTATATTATATATATATTATATTTATCTATATATTATTATAAATTATATAAAAAATTAACATTTTTTTAGCGAAGAGCACAAGAAAAGAAAAATTTTTAAAAATATTCTGAATGTAATAAGGGAAAAACTACATACTTATTTTTATATTTTAATTTCATACATTTATTTGCAATTTGCCCTAAATCCCAGGATTCTAAATTTCCAATATCATTGATTACATATATCCTTAATTTTGACGACTTACATGGTACGGTGTAAAAATCTGTAAGCGTTTTATATTTATTTCCGATTACGAAAAAGCCCTCATTATTTACAACAAAATTTCTAATAACAATAATGTTTTCGTCTTTTAAGCTACAGCAATTATCGGGTTCATTTATTTTTAAAATAAATTGTTTAAACACCGCTTTGCCAAATTGATTACAATTATGAAAATTAATAATAAGTGGACCATTAAAATGTGGTTTTAAAAATTGAGGCTCGTTACATTTCACTCTGACATTAGAATTTATACAATAGTTTCTTTCAGTTATACGACAAACAATTTGCTCTAATTCTTTATTATTTTTACGAATCATTTTTAATATAGATTGTAAGTAATTTTCAAACGGAAAAGCACTGAATTCTTGAAGAATTCCAAATTTTTTCGCGTCATCACAAATATGTAATAAATGATGCAGGTTGTGCGATGCATTTTCTTTACCATATAAATTAATAAATGTTTCTACAAAATATTGCAATAAGGAGTTGGAATCATCTAAATATTGTTCCATATGTTTTGAATTAGACAAAATAGTGATAGCTACATGTAAAGTTAAAAAATTTAAATATTGATCATGATTTAGAATAGATTTTAAAACAACAGATCCCGTATATAATAAAAAAGTTCTAAATTCGGTTGCCTTCCATCTTTTACTTTCAAACAAAGATCTTGATTTTCTATTAAATTCGGAAGGTATATATTTTTTTTGATGTTCTAATAACTTTGATATTTCAGATATTTGACAAAAGGATAACTTTGTTTTAGGTTTTCCGTAACACCATAAAGAAATCAGTTTTTTAACAACTCCCAAGAATATTAAATGCATCGGATCAGATGGAAAATCATTCACCATATTTATATTAGGAATCGATTCAAGTATTGATGTACCTATATGATGGTTTTCTTGTAATTTTAATCGGAAATCGTTATCTGTTCTTAATTGACAACTATTTAAATATGGATAAGTCATTCTATTGAGATAATATTTGCCCTTAGCTGTACATTTAAAACATGCGTAATAACCCGAATGATCCTTTGTATAAGTAATAAAACATCTAGCAGGAACATCGCATATAAAAGATTTAATTTTAAAAGAATAAGTGTGATCTTTAATTTTTATACCATGAATAGTTAAATTTTTTGCTTCTTCTGTGAAAGATTGTAAAAATACATTGGCATCTGTGGGTTTTTCATGTCCATGATAAATTCCAATGACATCAACTTCATTGTAATTTTCAACTAAATTACATAAAATGGGATAAACTTGACTACTTGAACTTTTGAATAATGGCAGGCCATCGATGTTAATGTTAACTTCAATACAGTGTAAATTTTGAAAAGAACATCGCGATAAAAGTCTTTCGATGCAATTACTTAAACCGAAATGATAGTAATGTCCTGGTGCAACGACGTCTACATTGATTTTTCTGGGAGTTCCTAATAAACTGCGAGCATTTTTAGGCAATTCCGGATATTTAAGTTTCATATTAGATATTAATTCATTTAACGCAGTATGAGTTATATTATTTTTAATTGCCCATTCTTGCAACCAAGATATAGAATTTGGAAAATCAGTAGTGGAATTTATAGATTTAAAGTTATTCACAAAATTTGTAGATTCAAAGTTATCAAAATTATGTTCTGTATCATCGGGATCACGGTCTGAATTATAATTATTCACGGTTTCTAAATCATTATTGTTCGAAATCGAACGGATAAAGAAAGCTGAAAGGAAGGGCATTAATGTATTACATTCAAATTCATGCAATATAAGCATGCAGCATGCACATAACTAGCATTACGTATATAAAACCTTAAATTGTAACAGGCAGATTTTAATATTATTTAAATCGCGCTCGGCCGCACAAGTATACATATACCTCGCGCCTGCGAAAAAAGAAGCGCTTGCGTTAACTTTCACTTTAATCGTAAACACCGCGGTCGTGCGAGAGGAGAGAAAATCAAGTGCCAATAACAACAAAATATGACTTGCTAAAAGGTAAATAATTATCGTAAACGTACTTTCGCCCTTAACATCTCGATCGAACAAGGGAAAATGTTCGCGAAGGTTCTCGAAATCCGGGACTATATAAACCTCCTCTCTCGTGACCGCGGGGCTCTTTCCGATTGCTCGTCGCGAATAGAGTGTGCTTCTACTTTCCGAAAAAGATCGCTTGTCTTTTTCGGTTTTCTCGTCTAATTACCGTTGCTTGCGGAACAGTCAGTAATTTATTTTCGACCCGGCTTTTCTCTCGTTTATTGCATTCATTTCTAATACATTCGACTCGGCTATCTTTTGGTAATTTCTGTGCGGTAAAACAATTGTAATTTGTGTTGTTCTTAGAGTAAATATATTTTTGTTCACGTTACGCGTTTGTCGAGTGCAGTGTTTCGCTGTCCTTTCGCTTCCGACCTTCCTATCCTGCTTTCCGTCGCGCACAATTATTGATATAAAAATTATTGCAATCCTCTAAATTATTATTTGAAACTGAAGGTGTACTTTCTAATAATGGCATTAAATTCTTATTTTGAACATTATTAATTACTAAATTAGTTATCTCTTGTGCTCTTCGATAATATTTTCTTCTTATTTTTGGCATTTTTAAAATTAATATTAAAATTTAAAATTGATTAATATTTTTCTACCTTTAATTAATTGATGAAAATCCGTTGAAAATTCGAGAATCGATAGAAATAATAATCTAAAAATTTATAAATAACGCTATTAGCAATCAGTACAAAAACATTTAAAAAATAAAACAAATAAACAATAATCGGAAAAAAGCGTTGATTTAGTAACGAATGTCCCATGTATACAGGGTGTTTCAGAAATAAATCGCCAAACTTAAAAAGCATATTTTATATACTGTAAGGATGAAAACAATAACAGATTTTAATAAATCTTTTATAACAGATTTTAAGAACATTTGAAACTGTAACATTTCATTACAGAAATTGTTGAAAATAATTTTCTTCCACATTAATGCACGTGTCGCATCGACATCGCATAGATATTATCGAAGACGCCCAAAAATTCTCGAAATATTTATTTTGTCACACGAAATGATAATACGATTTCGGAGTACTTTCACAGTAATAATACAAATATCATAAATGATTCTATAATATTATTACAGATCCATCTAATAACTTTTTGTTTATTTCTAATAAAAAGTGAATAGGACAATTCATGAAACGAAGCGAGATATATGTTGCCCGATGTAAATAAAAAATGTTTATAACTTGAAAAGAAAGCTGTTCCGAATGTTTATATACTTTTTATCATTATAGTGAGTAGAATATGCTCTTAAAGTTTAGCGATCTATTTCTAAAACATTTTGTGTATAGATTATTATCATTAAAGATTATAGAACATAGGAAACGAATATGAAAACGAAAACGTTCAATCAATTAATATAATGAATGAAGGAAATTATGCGTGCGTGTGTGCGTGCGTATGTGATGTGTGCGTGAATGTGACAAAATTATTATTATATAATAATTATAGTAAAACGTCTTACCTTGATAAATTTCTAGCAAATGTCCAATAGATTGTGCAATGGTCGCAACCTCACAGCACTACACTACGTGTATGTATACGTGCTTACAATCGTCGACCGAATAAGGAAAGGTTCACTGACCCAAACATTACACTATCCTATAATAAGGATTCGCGGTTGTTTTGGTCTTGCGCATCACCGCGTGCGAGTACCGCGACGTCAAGGACGAGACGCAGTACCGTTAATTCTGACGGGGACATGTGCCCCGATAATAAATAAAAGTAAATTTATAGATTTAAATAAAATAAGTTATTATTAATAAATTATATTTAATTGGTATATAAAAAAATAATAATTTTAATATAAAAATAATTAAACTAAACATTAGTGTAAAAATAATTATAGTAAAAAAATATTGCGATACTAAAATAAATATTTAATAATAAAATACAATAATTATTTAATAATAATAATAATAATATACATATATTTTGATCGTGGCATTAAAAGAACAGATTTTGTAATATTAAAAATTATTTCTCAAATATATAAGTTTAGTTATAACATTAAATGATACTATAAAAACATTTTCAAACATTTTTTTATATATAAGTAAATGTTAAAAAATATTTGTTGTGATATATTTATTAATAACATATTTTTAATATATAATGACATATATTCAATAAAAATTAAAGGAATTTTTGAAAAATATTTTAAAACATTTTATAGGAACGAAAGGCAAATATTTTTTAAACGTTAATATAAAAAAAAATCAGTATTTAAATTTGAACATATATTGAATGTCCATAGGATGTACTGTTTAGGACATTTGATTCATATCCAAAAAAGGACATCCAATTTATGCCCTATTTATGTCCATGGACATATGGACATAAATTGGATTTAAAATGTACGTCCATAATACATCCAGTGCTATCTGGGAGATTATAATATATAAGATTATTGATGTTACATTGTATAACTCTCATTTCTTTCTCTCTACTACATAAGTACTTATGACGTGAAAGAACTTACGCGTAACGTATGATGGCTCAATGCAAGAATATTTAATCACGTAAAAAACTTGAGTTCAAATATATCAATATCAATTTTTTTATAATATATTGGAATATAGAAAATCATAGAAATATATTTTTTATATAGGCGATAAACTTAAAAATTTGATATTGAAAATATTTTAATCATTTTACAACTACACATACTATAAATATATAAATGCAAAATAATTCCGTAAATAAATTTCAAGTAATAAATCAATTGCACACATGCACACAGCTGGTATATGTAGATTTTTATTAAATTTATTTTCTGAATTATTTTACACTTATATATAGTGTATGTAGTAAAAATATTTTCAATATATTAAAAAATTTTTAAATCGCCGAAATATATTTTTTTATCATTTTTCTATATTTTAATATATATATATATATATATATTATAAAAAAATTGATATTGATATATTTGAACTCTAATTTATATACTGGATGATATACTGAACATCCTTGCATTGATTATACATTACTCAACGTTCTTTCACGTTATAAGTATTTGGAGCAAATTATACAATAGCATCAATAATCAAAAAGAAATCAAGAATAATCAATATATCTTATATAATAAATATATATACATATATATATATATATATATATATATATATATATATATATATATATATACAGGGTGATTCAGGAGGAAAGGTAAAGATTTTAGTGGGTGATAGTATAGGCAAATGCGAACAAAAAATGTCCTATTAACATGTGTCTTATTTTTATTGGTTACAATAAACCACTCACGGCAGAAAAAAGTCAAAGGCACAAACAAAAGTAGACGCAAATGACTAAGTTCAAAGTTGATTTTCAAAAATGCCACCTCCGACTTCAATACACTTTCTAATTCTTTTGACTGTACTACGTGTAGCTCTTCTGAGGTCATCTTGACGTTCTTTTATGAGAGCAGCAGTATTCATAATTATAAAAATAAGACACATGTTAATAGGACATTTTTTGTTCGCATTTGCCTATACTATCACCCACTAAAATCTTTACCTTTCCTCCTGAATCACCCTGTATATATATACGCACATATGTGCATAACCATATATACAATTTCCAAAAAGTGGGTGCTTATTAGCCTTGCTACGCTACTGCCTTCTGCTACGGAAGGCCAGAAAGCATTTTCAGGCGGCATCTCGCGTATACCGGCACGGTAGAGGAACAAGGAGAACACGTGATTATCGGTCCTTGTCTCTCTACGGTGCGTCCGCGTGAGCAATGCAATGGTGTATGTACGTGTACAGACATGCACCACTACATAAAACCCGAGAATTGGTTTCTCGGCGTTGGCAACACTGAAATCGGAGTTTCGCGTTGTCACCGCGCGAGGTCTCCAACATCAATTCGGAGTTTGGCCGACCGACCTGTCGACCCTTAAGTTTCTTCTCTATGCTCTACATTTTCAATGGCGGCGTCTGCTAGTCGCGTCTGCTATCGCATTTATCTGTTGCATTCCAAGCGGCCATAGTTCTCGGAAACAAGTTTCCAACGTTTCCCGCCAAAAGCCGTCAGCCGTCATCTGTGTATCGGAGTATCGGAAGTGTCGCGGCACATCAGACTTGGCATATTTGTTATATCACTTCGTATATCATTTCGGCGACAAAATGTACGTCAAAGTGAGGACGATGGACGGGAAGAAGGAGGCGATTATAACGATCTCCAAGCTCACAAGCGTGGAAGATTTAAAGGTATGACACTTGATGTTGATCATATTGCCATGAAAAAACAACTTTGCCCTTTTATCACATATGTTACATGTTTTACGAAAGGATGAACGGCTTTGCGGACCCCTATTTATCGAATATATATATATATTTGGCTCTTAGTCGAGATGAAGATGGAGTTTTTTAAAAAAATAGGAGAGCTGACTGACAAATATTCTTATTAATATATATATATATATTTTTTTGTCGTAATTAGAAATATTTTTTTCACACTTATTAATTATGATAGTCTCATATATATTGAGCTCATAATCATCATATAAATTAATATTTTTCATATGGATATAAATATTTTATTTATTTATTTAATTTTATTATTTATTTAATTTAATAATTTATTTGATTTTATCAAGCATTTGACACAATACAATGGAGTTTAAGTCTACTGATTTCTGATCTTTTTCAGGGTGCGATTGAAAAGCAACTGCATGTTGAGACAGATATGCAGAGATTATTTTTTCGTGGCAAACAATTAGAAAATGGCTACAAGCTATACGATTATGACATTAATTTAAACGACGTTATACAGCTTATGATAAAAATAAAGTTTGATGATACAGAGAACAAAATTAGTGATAATAGCATAAAAGAAAAGAGAGAATTGAATGAAGATAAAGAAGAAGGACTGGTACAAGCGGAGAGCTTGTATTACAAAGTTGGAGATGCGATAGACTGCCTCGATGAAGAGAACGGTGCCTGGTTTGAAGCTATTGTACAAAACATTTTCCAAAAGGGAGAAGAAATAATTTATAATGTCCTGTGGGAGTTCACGAATGATGGATTCCCTTTCAATGTACCTGAAATGCGTATACGGCCACGTGCCATCCGTCTCATATCATTTGACAAATTATCTGAAGGCCAAAAGATAATGATCAATTATAATGTAGAGGAGCCTAAAGAAGTTGGATTGTGGTATGACTTTACAGTTGCCAAAATAGAAAAGAAAAAAAGATTGCAACAACTGACTGGAACATTGCACATTGGCTGGTATTACATATTTTGCATTCTATATATATTTTTATACATGTTTGCATTCTATGTATTTTTTTATATTATTGTATTATATTGTATTTTATTATATTTTATTATATTTATATTATTTTATTATTTTATATTTATATTACTTATATTATTTTATGTCATTTATATTATTTCATATATTACTTATATATTTATATTATTTTATTTTATATTTATATTATTTTATATTATTTTTATTATATTATTTTTTATTTTATATCATATTACTTAAGAATTATGATTTAGCTTTGCTATAACATTAATTTTTTTTTTTACCAGCAATAATCAGCTTGAGCTGCTGAAGATTAATTCCAAAGGAGAAATATATCAAATTGAAGTACGCAAATTATTAACAGAGAGAACATCGGAAGATGAAAAATTCATGATCAGCAATGGCAAACGCAGACGTGTTGCCGCCACTTGCTCGACGTGTATGGACAATCCGCGTAAGCAGTGTCGAGAATGCGGTTGCAAAATATGCGCCGGCAAACAGGACGAAAATAAACTCTTACTTTGCGACGAATGCAACCACGCGTATCATTTGGGATGTCTGAGCCCGCCGCTCGAGGCAATTCCAACTGAAGATTATTGGTATTGTCCTGAATGTAAAAACGACGAAAACGAAATCGTCAAGGTTCGTTTAAAGAGCTTTAAATTCATCCTATGCAAAATTGGATCTTAAAATCAGCTAGTATTCTCACATGTCGTAACTTTGATCTGATGAACAAAAAATATATTTTTTATTATTTATTTATTTAAAGTTAAACAATATGGACAGTTATTGGTTCACAACTATTCAAACAACACTCATAGAGAGGTTTTTGTGTTCAACTGTATTATATTTCCTGTTTAGCAGCTTTAGTTGATTTTACTAGGATCCAATTTCATATAGAATAGTGTAGAATTCTTCATCATCATTACTATTATCTATCTACCTAGGCGGGAGATAAATTGAAAAAGTCGAAGAAAAAATCTAAATCTGAAGACAAGAAGCCGAAGAAGGATTGGGGAAAAGGAATGGCTTGCGTTGGCAAAACAAAGATATGCAGTTTGGTCCCTTCGAATCACCGGGGTCCTATTCCAGGTGTAGAAGTTGGCACGAGTTGGATGTTTAGACTGCAGGTGACTAAGAGTTTCGAATCTCCTCCAATTTCAATAAATTTATCGACGTCGAATTATACAGTTATTGAAAGAACAAAAAATGTGTTGAAAAGAGGAAAGTCTATAAGTTTTTAATGGATATAAATAAAATGTTCGTATACTAGTTTATTTTATTGGAAAAAAAATAATGAAAAAAATACTAATAATTACATATGTAAGCTAATGATAAATATTTTCAAAGTGCGTATCATTTGAATTTGCACAAAATTTTGTTCTTTTACGAAAACTCGTAAAAACTTTTTCTAACATGTCACTTTTAATGTTATTGACGATCCTTTTAATAGCTGCTATTAAATCTGGCACTGTTAAAAATATTTATTATTAGTTTATGTGATTATTAGCACTTTTTTCATTACTTTTTATTAATAAAATAAATGAGCACGTAAACATTTATTTATATCTATTAAAAAACTGCAGACTTTCCTCTTTCCAAAACAATTTTTGTTTTCTCAATAACTGCACGCATTAAAAAATTACAGCAGATTAGTTTCAGCAATTTCCTATAGGACACTCTGTATGATTTATCAGTGTTTAATTTAATTGTTAAAATTATTTGTGTAAAATTTTTATATTTAATTAGGAAAAAGGAGTGATAAGAAAAGCTCGAAAAATTTATAAAAGAATAGTAAAAGAAAAAATATTGTACAGGTAGCGGAAGCGGGAGTGCACAGACCACATGTGGCCGGCATCCACGGACGAGAAACGGATTGCGCGTACTCTATCGTTTTGTCTGGTGGTTACGAGGACGACATCGACAACGGAGACGAGTTTTTATACACCGGTTCCGGTGGCAGAGATTTATCAGGTCATCGTCCAAGTCAAGAGAATATTGCTTGCGATTCAGTCAAAATCTTTCTACAATATATGAATTTTTATCGACACAGGTAACAAAAGAACCGCTGGACAGAGTAGCGATCAGAGATTGACTATGCAGAATAAGGCATTGGCAAGAAATTGTAACGCCAAGTTAAATGAAAAAACAGGCGCGACTGCTAGGGACTGGAGAGGAGGGATACCGGTCCGAGTAGTACGCAATTTTAAATTAAAGAAACATAGTAAATATGCACCAAAAGAGGGTAACAGGTACATTGAATTGATTTTTGAATTCTGAATAATTAATATACATAGTATATAGTTTTTTAACAGCAAAATGGCATTATTTTGACGTTTAATAATGTCAGTTTGCTACTTAGGAATATATATTTGCTGTTATCTAAATAAAATTATATAGATGATCATCTAGATGAAATTTTGACTTTATTATCTTTTATTTTATTTTTTCTTTTATATTAAATTCTATTATTTTTAATTATTTTATCTTTCATCTTATTTATTATCTTATATTATCTTTATAATAAAAATATATATTATCTATATCTGCATCTTAAAAAAACTGTTATCTTTACAAAACTATCTAGAATAATGTTAGATAATTTGGTTTAGTCATATAAAAATACTTAAATAGTAGAACTTGAGGAATATAAGCAATAAAACTTTAAAAAAATATACATATATTTTTATAATTATTATTTTATAATTTTTATTATTTTTATAATTATAATAATTCTTTTTATAATTTACATTTTTTTCAGAATTGTGTTTACATAAAAAAGCTGTCTTCAAAATAATATTATCTGGATGAATTGTCATATAATTTTATCTTCTATCTAGATTTATTTAAAACAAAATCATCATCTTATTTAAGATGAATTTACATATTTTTATCTTATCTGGTTAATTTTAAAATAATCTAAGCACAACTGAATATATATATATATATATATATATATATATATATATTATTTGCTGTAGATACGACGGTATATACAAAGTAGTAAAGTATTATCCAGACACAGGCAAGAGTGGCTTTCGTGTTTGGAAATTTGTATTGCGGAGAGATGATCCTACTCCTGCGCCCTGGACTAAAGAAGGCAAGGTGAGAATCGCTTCGCTCAATTTAAAAATGATATATCCCGAGGGATATCTCGAAGCAATGGAGCAGAAGAACACAGCTGTGAAACGAAAAGCTGAAGATACTACAAGCCCGAAGAGAAATAAGAGTCCGCCCAAGAAAAAACTTAAACAGGAAATGTACGATTTAGAAGACGAATTGAAGAATTTGATAGAAAGTGACAAATTAAATGCTAAATTGTGGACTGAATGCACTGCGGCATTGCCCGATGGAAAATCCGCCTTCCTGCAATATGTTTCAGAAAGGTAAATATATATATTTTTTTGTTGAAATTTTGGCATTATCTTATCTTTATATAAAATATAAAGTATATAGAATATATCTTAAACAAAAAAGTATTATCTTTATTAAATTGCCTAAAATAATATTCAGATAATTTGGTTTAGAGTCATAGCACATAAAAATACTTACACACACAATTAAATAGTAGAACTTACACAATAAGCAATAAAAATTTATAAAAAATATAAATGTATTTTTTATATTATATTTAAATAGTATATATTTTTATATTGCTTTTATAATTTACATTTTTTCAATAATTTTGTTTACATAAGCAATTTTAAAAATAATATTCTAGAAGTTATCTAGATGAATTACCATATAATTTTATCTTTTATCTATACACATTAACAAGAAATAATCTTTATCTTCTTTAAGATTAATTGAAACATATTTTTATCTCATCTTTATTTAGTTAATTTTATAATCATCTAATTGTAAGCACAACACTGATAATAATTTTTTTCGCAATTTCTTAATAATGAAATTTTCGAAAATAAAAATAATAAAATTAATAATGAAATAAAATAATAGAATCTTGATAAAATCCAATTTTATATTTTGCAGATTCACATGCGCCTGTTGCCTCGAAATAGTTTATAAGCCGGTAACGTCTCCCTGCGCACACAATATCTGCTTAAGGTGTTTAAAACGAAGTTTTGCCTCCGAGGTATATTCCTGTCCCTCGTGTCGACATAATCTAGGTAAAACTTACAACATGGAAATCAATCAGTCATTGGCGTCCGCATTATTATTAATTTTTCCTGGTTACGAGGGCGGAAGGTAGAAAATTATTTTTTTTTATAATTATATTATGGTTTGTTTATAAAGTACAATAATATGTGAGCAGTCGAGTCGTTTGTCTGATTTCAAGACAAATTATATAAAATTGTAAAATCCTGTAATTCGTCGTTTTCGAATCGACAGTTCAAACGTAGAAATTTAATTTTAAAATAGAAATTCTTTATATTCAATATACATATTATGTCATATATAGTACATAACTTTTGACATAACTTTTTATGTTTATAGAAAAAAATAATTATGTATACATATATATATATACTATTTTTATAGTATATATAAATTATATAGTATATATATATATATATATATATATATATATATATATATATATATAATTTTTATTACATACAAATTTATTCACAGATGCAGGGAAAGTTGATGTGTCTTATTCTAATATATATTCTAAAAATTAAACCTTTTATTTAAACTGATGTGATATTGTTAATTATATTTTAATAATATGTATACATACAATGTAGACACTTTGATTGATTGATCTATTATAACATATTTAATTATCAGTATTCTAGACAAAGAAAGACATCTCACATTCTAACAAGAAACTTTTCACACATTTATACATTCTATATACTGCCTTTAGATTATTATGTTCAAGTTATTGTGGATTGTTCTTTATTTATTATATAGAATATAGAATAATATCGAAATATAGGATTAATTGTAGAATAATTTTAAAAGGGAAATGATATACACAATAGTGAATTTCCTGTATTGAATTTATATATCTTACATTTCTTGAGTTGTATCAAGTGATGGCACTACGTCTCCAATCCATTTCAAGTAATCGCCATTTCCATTTTGTATCTGCGTTATAAACATTCATAAAATTGTAATACACACATTTTATACATTAATTTTGTAGCATTATTGTATTATTATTTTCCTGGATATTAAAAATAATACACTTGCAGTCTCTTTACAATAAAATATTTAAAATAAAATATGCAAATTAACTTACAGGCAGGGAAATCACTTCGCAAATTGTATAGGGATGATTATCTCTGTAGAAAAATTAAAGTTGAAATTTAATATTTATTATTAGGTAATTGTACAGTAGTTTTAATTGATCAACTTACTTCACATATTTTGTTAGAGCATCTATTTTCTCTGTCCTAGTTTTTATCATCTGTAATTTAAATAAATAATCAGTATCCCAATATTTTCTCGCCTACCTTTCTTCAGAGGGAATAGAAATTAAAATTTAAATTAAAAAAATAAAATCTCAAAGATTAAGATTTGATTTCTTGGCATCAAAACAAGGAAAATTAGCGCACCATAAAAATAATATACTTTACATCGGAAGCAGCTTACAAAGTCTGAGTTTCTTACCAATAAAAGTTCAGGATCCTCTTGTATCTTCCCCTCCCATTCGTATCTAGAGGAAGAATATATTTTTTTTTTAATATTCAAGAAATACAATTTTTGCTAAAAATATTCCTTGCACAATAACATATGTAAGATAACAAAAACTCACATGGAAAGAAGTTGTGGGATGATGTTGACACAGGCGGCGAGTTTATTTTCTACCAGGCCACTATAAAAAAATCAAAATTTTTTAAAAATAAAAAATTGAAAACACCAAGTGTGATGCAAATTTACATTATATATATATATATATGCATTAATTAATGCATTTTTTACCGCGCTAAATTTTTTGCCACCGTGTCGTTCGGCACGGTGACGTAGGCCACGGAATACAACCCGGGGAGGCTCGACGATGACATGTTCCGGTAGACCTGGGCGCAAACACTCCTCGCGATGCAGAAAAACATCAACGCTCCCGCGATAGAGGTTCGCGTTGCGAATAGCATCTGTAGAGAGCCGGCTTGATGTCGGTGAACTTCAAAGAGAACGGAACGACAAGAATCTGCCTCTTGACCACCAGCTGATCAATAATATTTGACAACAAGGAGAGTGGGAAGAATAATAAACAGCGTGATGTCAAGAATGTTGTATACATTATGGATAGATTAAATTGGAGCGAAAAATTAATGAACATAATTTTGAGTTTTCGAAATTTGGATTTTTAAGTATAAAAAATATTTCTGTATCTTTTTCTACGATTTTCACGTAATATTTTTCGAAAACAGTTGGTAAAGTCAGAGAGCTGCAAATATCTCAAGTTATATCACAGATTAAGGGTCGGCAGGCGACATGGTGGAGACGCCTATCGGCCGGCCGGGAATTACGGATTCTTATTTTCCAGATATTAGCGAAAATATTGAATGAATCTTATTAAATTTAGGATATTCTTAATCAGTAAGCTCATTTGTAGTCCTCTAAAGAGCTATTTTATGAAAAAAAGATAAAAATAAAAATTTTTAATAAACTTGGGGGAATGCACAGCTAGGAACGGGTAAGGTTGGGTTAGCCGCGAGTCCGTATTTTATTTATTATAAATTTTTAAGAGCGAAAATGTAAAATCCGGCCTTTTAGAGGACTGCTTTATTATATAAAGAATATATTAAAAAAAAATTCACGAAGTTATGTCACTTATTTTATGAAATATCTGGACGATAAGATTCTCACTAGATTCATAAGGAGCAGGGGAAATTTCTGTGGTAACATGCTGACTGCTTGACAAGGAGAGAGCATCATTCCATCTTTGTCTCTCTTACATCGCATATGTAGTAGCGTCCATGTAGGTACAAACACTAATACGTGAGCACACGGATGCAAATATTGAGAGATAATGTCAGCAAAAAGGCTATCATATTATTTTTATTTTTTTGTATATGTATGCATATGTAAATAAAGAACAAAAATAAAAACTATTTTAAGATGACATTTTATAATTAATTTTCTATATGTATTTGCATTTTATTAATATGTATTACATTTTTGATATGTTTTTAATTTATAATTTATATAAACATAAGTATGAAATAAAAATTGAAATAGTTCTGAAAATAAGTATATTAATGATAAAATTATTCAAAACAATAAAAAAATTAAATTTAATATTTTTTAGTGTTTGTACCTACATGGACGCTACTACATATGCGATGTAAGAGAGACAAAGATGGAATGATGCTCTCTCCTTGTCAAGCAGTATTAAAAGCCATATTAAAAGCTTCATTCAATTAATAATCCAATATAATAATCAACAATTATTTTTATATAATATATAGTATTTTTAAATATTTTTAAATATTTAAAAATATTTTTTTTAAGATTAATTGAGGAAAAGAATATTTTAAATATAAAAAAATATTTTAAATATTTTTTTCAATTAATTTTTAAAACAAATTTTTAAAAATATTTTTATATATTCAAATATTTATTATATTATATAAAAATTATTGTGAATTATACTCATTGGAGTAATAATTATTGATTGAAGCTTGTTATGGCACAAACTGAACATCTTGTACATTGTCTGTATAATATTTTACTTATTTATAAAATGTTTTTTATAAATAAATGAAATATTATATATATATAATATATAAGATTATAATATATAAGATTATTGATGTTACATTGTATAACTCTCATTTCTTTCTCTCTGCTACATAAGTACTTATGACGTGAAAGAACTTACGAGTAACGTATGATGGCTCAATGCAAGAATATTTAATCACGTAAAAAACTTGAGTTCAAATATATCAATATCAATTTTTTTATAATATATTGGAATATAGAAAATCATAGAAATATATTTTTTATATAGGCGATAAACTTAAAAATTTGATATTGAAAATATTTTAATCATTTTACAACTACACATACTATAAATATATAAATGCAAAATAATTCCGTAAATAAATTTCAAGTAATAAATCAATTGCACACATGCACACAGCTGGTATGTAGATTTTTATTAAATTTATTTTCTGAATTATTTTACACTTATATATAGTGTATGTAGTAAAAATATTTTCAATATATTAAAAAATTTTTAAATCGCCGAAATATATTTTTTTATCATTTTTCTATATTCTAATATATATATATATATATATTATAAAAAAATTGATATTGATATATTTGAACTCTAATTTATATACTGGATGATATACTGAACATCCTTGCATTGATTATACATTACTCAACGTTCTTTCACGTTATAAGTATTTGGAGCAAATTATACAATAGCATCAATAATCAAAAAGAAATCAAGAATATAATCAACATATCCCTTATATAATATATATATATATATATATATATATATATATATATATATGTTATATATATACGTTATGCACATATGTGCATAACCATATATACTTCCAAAAAGTGGGTGCTTATTAGTTTGCTACGTTACTGCTTTCTGCTACGGAAGGCCAGAAAGCATTTTCAGGCGGCATCTCGCGTATACCGGCACGGTAGATGAACAAGGAGAACACGTGATTATCGGTCCTTGTCTCTCTTACGTGCGTCCGCGTGAGCGATGCAGTTGGTGTATGTACGTGTACAGACATACACCACTACATAAAACCCGAGAATTGGTTTCTCGGCGTTGGCAACACTGAAACCGGAGTTTCGCGTTGTCACCGCACGAGGTCTCCAATATCAATTCGGAGTTTGCCTGGGTGTACTGCCGACCCTTAAGGGTCGACAGGTCGGTCGGCCAAACTCCGAATTGATGTTGGAGACCTCGCGCGGTGACAACGCGAAACTCCGATTTCAGTGTTGCCAACGCCGAGAAACCAATTCTCGGGTTTTATGTAGTGGTGCATGTCTGTACACGTACATACACCATTGCATTGCTCACGCGGACGCACCGTAGAGAGACAAGGACCGATAATCACGTGTTCTCCTTGTTCCTCTACCGTGCCGGTATACGCGAGATGCCGCCTGAAAATGCTTTCTGGCCTTCCGTAGCAGAAGGCAGTAGCGTAACAAGGCTAATAAGCACCCACTTTTTGGAAATTGTATATATGGTTATGCACATATGTGCATAACGTATATATATAACATATATATATATATATATATATATATATATATATTATATAAGGGATATGTTGATTATATTCTTGATTTCTTTTTGATTATTGATGCTATTGTATAATTTGCTCCAAATACTTATAACGTGAAAGAACGTTGAGTAATGTATAATCAATGCAAGGATGTTCAGTATATCATCCAGTATATAAATTAGAGTTCAAATATATCAATATCAATTTTTTTATAATATATATATATATATATATATATATATATTAGAATATAGAAAAATGATAAAAAAATATATTTCGGCGATTTAAAAATTTTTTAATATATTGAAAATATTTTTACTACATACACTATATATAAGTGTAAAATAATTCAAAAATAAATTTAATAAAAATCTACATACCAGCTGTGTGCATGTGTGCAATTGATTTATTACTTGAAATTTATTTACGGAATTATTTTGCATTTATATATTTATAGTATGTGTAGTTGTAAAATGATTAAAATATTTTCAATATCAAATTTTTAAGTTTATCGCCTATATAAAAAATATATTTCTATGATTTTCTATATTCCAATATATTATAAAAAATTGATATTGATATATTTGAACTCAAGTTTTTTACGTGATTAAATATTCTTGCATTGAGCCATCATACGTTACTCGTAAGTTCTTTCACGTCATAAGTACTTATGTAGCAGAGAGAAAGAAATGAGAGTTATACAATGTAACATCAATAATCTTATATATTATAATCTTATATATTATATATATATAATATTTCATTTATTTATAAAAAACATTTTATAAATAAGTAAAATATTATACAGACAATGTACAAGATGTTCAGTTTGTGCCATAACAAGCTTCAATCAATAATTATTACTCCAATGAGTATAATTCACAATAATTTTTATATAATATAATAAGTATTTGAATATATAAAAATATTTTTAAAAATTTGTTTTAAAAATTAATTGAAAAAGAATATTTAAAATATTTTTTTATATTTAAAATATTCTTTTCCTCAATTAATCTTAAAAAAATATTTTTAAATATTTAAAAATATTTAAAAATACTATATATTATATAAAAATAATTGTTGATTATTATATTGGATTATTAATTGAATGAAGCTTTTAATATGGCTTTTAATACTGCTTGACAAGGAGAGAGCATCATTCCATCTTTGTCTCTCTTACATCGCATATGTAGTAGCGTCCATGTAGGTACAAACACTAAAAAATATTAAATTTAATTTTTTTATTGTTTTGAATAATTTTATCATTAATATACTTATTTTCAGAACTATTTCAATTTTTATTTCATACTTATGTTTATATAAATTATAAATTAAAAACATATCAAAAATGTAATACATATTAATAAAATGCAAATACATATAGAAAATTAATTATAAAATGTCATCTTAAAATAGTTTTTATTTTTGTTCTTTATTTACATATGCATACATATACAAAAAAATAAAAATAATATGATAGCCTTTTTGCTGACATTATCTCTCAATATTTGCATCCGTGTGCTCACGTATTAGTGTTTGTACCTACATGGACGCTACTACATATGCGATGTAAGAGAGACAAAGATGGAATGATGCTCTCTCCTTGTCAAGCAGTCAGCATGTTACCACAGAAATTTCCCCTGCTCCTTATGAATCTAGTGAGAATCTTATCGTCCAGATATTTCATAAAATAAGTGACATAACTTCGTGAATTTTTTTTAATATATTCTTTATATAATAAAGCAGTCCTCTAAAAGGCCGGATTTTACATTTTCGCTCTTAAAAATTTATAATAAATAAAATACGGACTCGCGGCTAACCCAACCTTACCCGTTCCTAGCTGTGCATTCCCCCAAGTTTATTAAAAATTTTTATTTTTATCTTTTTTTCATAAAATAGCTCTTTAGAGGACTACAAATGAGCTTACTGATTAAGAATATCCTAAATTTAATAAGATTCATTCAATATTTTCGCTAATATCTGGAAAATAAGAATCCGTAATTCCCGGCCGGCCGATAGGCGTCTCCACCATGTCGCCTGCCGACCCTTAATGAATTGAAGTTATTACAAATGTATAAAGATGTAAAAAGTGTAAAAGTGCAGTGAAAAGTGTAAGGTGTAATAAAAGTGTAGAGTGTAAATGAAAGGTGTGGATGATGAATGCTACAACCGTGTAGCGACTTATGAATAAATTCACC